GCGTGTCCATATCGAGGTAAAGCATTTTCGTATCGTATAGAATGCTCATTTCGAATGTTTGGGTTAACGCATGTATTGGATGTCCATATCGGATATATAAAATGTCCATTTTCGGCGTATGGGATGTCCATATCAGATGTACAGGATGTCCATATCGGACGTACAGGATGTCCATAACGGATGCATGAGATGTCCATAATGGATGTACGGGATGTCCTTAATGGATGTGCATGTACAGGATCTCCATATTGGGCGTATAGGACGTTCATGTCGAGGTAAAGGACGTTCGTATCGTATTTATAGGATGTCCTTATCGGATGTATAGAATGTTCGGATGCTGCGGATGTTCACACCGGATGAAAAGGATGTCAATATAGGATTTATAGAATGTTCATTTCGGATGCTGAGGAAGTTCACACCGGATGAAAAGGATGTCAATATAGGATTTATAGAATGTTCATTTCGGATGCTGAGGATGTTCACACCGGATGAAAAAGATGTCAATATAGGATTTATAGAATGTTCATTTCGGATGCTGAGGATGTTCACACCGGATGAAAAAGATGTCAATATAGGATTTATAGAATGTTCATTTTGGATGTTGAGGATGTTCACACCGGATGAAAAAGATGTCAATATAGGATTTATAGAATGTTCATTTTGGATGTTGAGGAAGTTCACACCGGATGAAAAGGATGTCAATATAGGATTTATAGAATGTTCATTTCGGATGCTGAGGATGTTCACACCGGATGAAAAAGATGTCAATATAGGATTTATAGAATGTTCATTTCGGATGCTGAGGATGTTCACACCGGATGAAAAAGATGTCAATATAGGATTTATAGAATGTTCATTTTGGATGTTGAGGATGTTCATTTCGGATGAAAAGGATGCCAATATAGGATTTATAGGATGTGCATATAGGATGTTAAGGACGTTCATACCGGATGAAAAGGATGCCAATATAGGATTTATAGGATGTGCATACAGGATGTTGAGGATGTTCATACCGGATGAAAAGGATGTCAATATAGGATTTATAGGATGTCCACATAGGATGTTTAGGATGTCAATTTCGGATTTATAAGATGTCCATATCATATGTGTAGGATGTCAATATTTGATTTATAAGATGTTCATATCGTGTGTATACTTTAGGATGTCCATATCGGATGTAGGCTATAGAATGTCCATAAACAATGTCCATATCTGAATAAAAGGATGTCCATATCTGATTAATAGGATGTCCATATTTGATGAATAGGATGTTCAAACAAGATGTATAAGATTTCAGTGCCATTAAGAACAGCATGTCAGCACAACGCAGAAGCTCCTTCGACATCACTTTTTAAATTGATCAGAACAAATTCATCAAGTACATGCACAATTTATTAACAACATTAAATCTTACAATTTAACATCAGTAAGGAAACAGCAAGATATGTGTGCTGATTCTGAAATCCAGTATAATGTATGAAATAAACACAAAATGAAATCAACAAGAAAACAACTGTTAAAATATTATAGAACACATAATGAAGAATGCTTGGTGTGATTTTAAAGAAGTATGTTTATGACTTAGTCGGAATCGTACAATGGCCTCTGTCTGGGGCAAAGATTTTTTATGATAATGGAAAGTGATTTGTCGCCCTTGTTTTGAAGTGAGACAATAGACACCTGTGTACAGATTTTTTTATATACGAAATTATCTCTGTTGTTAAAGCCATTTTCAATATGTTTAGTAAACGTTGAAGAAAAGTGGCGTCTGAGAAATTATCCATTATCATATTTCACAACATAATTTATTGCTATACTCTATTTACAGCATCGACCGTGAATAATCATTATACTGGTGTGGGTTAGGATATCTTATTTTCAGCATATCTATATCAAAATAGTCTGTTCCTAAACAATTTCTGGGATTTGTCAGATCAGGTGAGTGAATAATTACCATAACCATATTTCCGCTTCAAATAATTCGTATAGTCCACGTCGTATCCTTTGGAATAAAAAAATATGCTGTATATAACATTTGAAAATTAATATTTAAGCCGAGGCAGTAGGTAATACAAGCGTGATTTTATGTATGTGCAAAGAGCTGTTTCGTGCTGATTTTATCAGTTCTGAAAACAAAGGCAGACAAGGTTCAACATTCATTTCCCTCGTGGCAGCAATAATCATCTTTATTTCTCACACTCAGTGTGTAATTACAATTACACTGTCTGTCATTATATGGCAGTCAGGGTATGATTAATGTCGGACACAATAAAGTTATGGCAGTATTGGGAGAACTGTCTGACCACCATGTACTCGTGGTTCTGAAATCATGGCATTTACTTCTACATCGTACAACAATATGTCAGAAACCTTTAAATAATGGAGTCCGGCCATAACAAAACACTGGATGATGTCATAATTAGTCAAGATGTGACTTGAAATTTAACTCACAGGCTATAAAATGATAAAACTTTCGATGATTTGAGGCATGTATAATACATATTTTGTCACTCAATAATTGGTTAAATACACAACTTAATATGTCACAAGATATTTATGAAGAGGTGGAACTAATAAATTCATAATATTACTTTTTAAAATGCATATACAAGCTATTGCAATTCATGCACGCTAATAATAATACAAGCAAGGTATAAATAAACCTGCACTGTTTGTTCAACTGGAAATAAAATACAGACAAATCTAAACAGAATTCAAACATAAAACATAATCTATAGTGAACTATAAGGAACTATTAAAAATTGAAAATAACATATAACGTCATTGAATATGAAATATGAATAGCAACGCTTAAAAGTGCACATTAGTTCTTGCCGGAACAAACACGTCAGTACACAACCCCTTCCTTCATCACAAAGACAGACAGCCACTTTAAACTAAAGTAGCTATTTTTAACCAGCCTGCATCAAGCGAGTGCTCTGACCAATGAACACTCAGATACCATCGGCAATATCTCTCGTGCACGATGTTTCGGGGCATTTAAGCTGGAAGTAGTCCTCCCCCTGAGCACCAAATATGTTCCCTTCTTGCTAATGTGTTTCTATAGGCGTGTAATCGGAATGTTTGCTCGGATTGGCAAAGTCAAAACAACGTATTTTGGGGCCAAGAAGTTTAACTTAAGCTTCAGGCATATCGATGATCTTATATCGTTCTTATATCCAATTTCCTTCCACTGATTTACCCACCTGAACAAGAAATAAAGGAGACCAGTGAGACCGCCTCATTTGTTTCATATTTAGATCTATGCATAAAGGGTTAGAGAGACAAAAATCTCCCCACAAGACTGTATGATATGAGGGATGACTTCAACTTGCCAACTGTCAAGGTTACAAGGCCTCAGAAAAGTTTTATGGTAGACATGTGGAGGACATTTCCAATTGAGACGGGGGAGGCACGGGTGGTCCAGTCGTCTAAGGCGCCGAGATTCGCTGTGCAGAGTTTTGTCCCTTGGGCACGCCATAAACCTATGATTGTGGGCTCGAATCCCGGTTCGCCCCAATTATGTTTCTAGGTTTGTCAGCAACATACCCGTGCTCGTGGGTTTCACCGAAGTGGTAAACTTTAGGGATCTGCATCACTTCGGGCTTTTCCTCCCACATTAAGCTGACACGCCGTGATATAACTGGAATACTGTTTAAAGCGGCGTTAAACCCAACTCACTCACTCACTCACTCCAAATGAGACGCATCAGCCACAAACATGATGTCCAATGCAATTCCCTATTTGTGGTGAACAATTGACTTGGGTTTGCATGTGTTTGTGACGGGTGCCAACGATGGGGTAGGATCCGCTTACCGTTTCGCGAATACCTGATATCAAAACGATTTTATTGTGATTCATAAACACATGCACATGATCCAGGCGGAATCGTACAATCGATTCTGCTTTTAGTAGACATTTCTTGTTGCTGTGGAAATGGTTTTATCAGTTTTATTTGGTGTGAGACAAAAACTAGGATTCACAGAAAGTTTTATGCACGGAATGGACCTTATTTCGCTTCCGTATGTGATTCCGCGTTGCTTCCATTTGGGAGACAAGCAGCACTATTACATCGCATCTTAACCGTATGTATTCACGGGTGATTGAGTAACGCAGGGTATATAAACCCAGGAAGTATTGACAATGAAGCACAACGGTGGTATACAGTACCACGACTTAGCGATATCTGAGATATTCATGAAGCTGTTGAAAATTCGACGGACAATGTCTCAGTTATGTTTGAAGTTAATAAGCATACTAAACAGTAATTTGATAAATAGACGTCACCGCGCTAAGTATAGGAAACTCGGCATGTATGTGTCACCTTTAGCGATTCTTCCAATTGACCACGTGTTTATTTATGGTCCGGTGGCTAGTGGCGACTTCTATTTTTTCTGTTCAGTTTGGACCACCTGTTTATAAGATGCGCCTGCCTATTCGGGGAAATACCCTGATTAATAACAATCGCACATAATGTAGTAGGAAAATTAACTATACAGTCCACACTTTGTTTGTAAATACACTGTGCTGATGCATTACTGATTTTAGCGTCTGTAATTATTTTTCTTGAAACAATAACATAACTGTGACAACAGACAACGTTTTTGATGCTGTGACTACATGAGTGAGTGAGTATGGTTTTACGCCGCTTTTAGCAATATTCCAGCAATATCACGGCGGGGAACACCAGAAATGGGCTTCACACATTGTACCCAGGCCGGGAATCGAACCCGGGTCTCCGGCTTGACGAGCGAACGCTTTAACCACTAGGCTACCCGACCGCCCCTGTGAGTACATGAAACAATGTTGTGTATTCTTTTTTTATATTTTAATGGACGAGAGAGCAAATGGTAAACGTGATTGTTTGTTTGTTGTTTATCGCCGCACTCCAATATTCCAGCTTTATGACGGCGGTCTGTCAATAATCGAGTCTGAATCAGACAATCCAGTGATTGACATTATGAGTATTGATCCACGCAATTGGGATGAGATGACATGCATTAACCAAGTCAGCGAGCCTGACCACCCGATCCCGTTAGTCGCCTCTTACGACAAGCATGTCTCCTATTACGTCAAGCATGTGTTGCTGATGCCCTATTCTAACCCGGATCTTCACGGGTAGCAAACGTGTATAAGAATTATTTTGATATTGGAGTGAGTCATTTGGATTTAACTCTGCTTTATTTGAGAAATATCACATCGTGCTTTAATATCGGTTTGACGGTCCTTGTCAAGATAACGTAAATATAGACATTTTTTGTTATGATGAAGATCACCTGATGTGATTAGGCTAATGTAGACATGGGCCAAGCAGGGTATGATGGGGGTATTTTGCCAATGATAATAATCTCATAGTATGAAGGATAACACAAGTGCAAAATAAACATTATAATATGAGCAGATATATATACCAAATGAATGTGTCGATAAATGTACATTAACCCCGCCATGTCGAAGTTACTAGGTGAAATGTAAAATACCACAGAACCTCTAGTATAAGGGACTGCATAACTCACATGCAGTATACATTGGACCGACAATTTAACATTCGTAGGGAAATGTTGAGATGTCTGGAAATGTTGCTAGCAATAGAATATTTTTGTCAGAGTATCCACTGAAATATCTGATGTAAACCCGACGCAGATTAGTATATGACCCCTTAAAAACATCTAGATTGAGATTAGGTGTTTTTCGACCATAAAGAGCAAACAAAAGCTGTTGTGAGCTAGTTCTATAACCACAAAGCGCAAACAACTGCTGTTGTGAGCTAGTTCTAGGACCACAAAGCGCAAACAACTGCTGTTGTGAGCTAGTTTTAGGACCACAAAGCGCAAACAACAGCTGTTGTGAGCTAGTTCTAGGACCACAAAGCGCAAACAACAGCTGTTGTGAGCTAGGTCTAGGACCACAAAGCGCAAACAACTGCTGTTGTGAGCTAGTTCTATAACCACAAAGCGCAAACAACTGCTGTTGTGAGCTAGTTCTAGGACCACAAAGCGCAAACAACAGCTGTTGTGAGCTAGTTCTAGGACCACAAAGCGCAAACAACAGCTGTTGTGAGCTAGTTCTAGGACCACAAAGCGCAAACAACAGCTGTTGTGAGCTAGGTCTAGGACCACAAAGCGCAAATAACTGCTGTTGTGAGCTCGTTAAATAGATGGAGAAGATTCACTCATTTTACCACCAATTGATACAATAATAATGTTAATATCCTCATACACATTGAACACAATGATACACATAACATGAGTGTCAAAGTTACAGGAAGTATATCACAGTTTTGCTCGAATATAAGAAGGCAATAAGACTCTGTCCATCAGTCTCAAGAAACAACTCCATCAGTGTCCGGAAACATCTCCAATTATCAAACAAATGAATGTTTTCATTCTAATTTCCATTTCGAACTATGTCGAACGACGGTCACTTCTAGTAGCCAGCCCAGGCGCAGGTACTCGTCGTTACATGGAAGTCCCTTCACCCGGATATTGCATTACGCCACCCAGGTATTTCGTCAGGGCATGTCGATATTTCTTCACGACACATTGACATTTAATCACTTCGTCTTTATGTTTCATAACAATACCTGCGACAATCGTCACTGCGACCAGATGTTTCATACCTGGGTATATCGCCACTTCAGCTGAATGTTTGAGAACAACATTGGGGTACATTGTCCCTTCAGGTAGATATTTCATAACAAAAAATACCTGGGAAAATCATCACTTCAGCTGGATGTTTCATAACACTGTGATATATCGTCACTTCAGCTGGATGTTTCAAAACGCTGGGGTATATCGTCACTTCAGCTGGATGTTTCATAACACTGTGATATATCGTCACTTCAGCTGGATGTTTCATAACGCTGGGGTATATCGTCACTTCAGCTGGATGTTTCATAACGCTGGGGTATATCGTCACTACAGCTGGATGTTTCATAACGCTGGGGTATATCGCCACTACAGCTGGATGTTTCATAACGCTGGGGTATATCGTCACTACAGCTGGATGTTTCATAACGCTGGGGTATATCGTCACTTCAGCTGGATGTTTCATAACACTGTGATGTATCGTCACTTCATCTGGATGTTTCAGAACAATATCTGGCTACATCGTCACTTCCGTTGTATTTTTAATATCAACACATTGCTATGCCGTCACTTCACTGGGATATGTCGTCACTTAACGTGGATGTTTCGCATCAACAATGGGATATGTCATCCCTTGAGCTGGAGTTTTCACATCAACACTGGGGTATATCGTCTCTTCACTTGGTCAATCGTCACTTCACTTGGGTATATCGTCACCTCACTGGGGTAATTTGTAACTTCAGCTGTTCATAACAACACCTTGCTATGTCGTCACTTCATGCGGACGTTTCTTAACAACACCTGGCGATGTCACTTCAGCTGGATGTTTCATAACAACACCTGGCTATGTCGTCACTTCCCGCGGATGTTTCACAACAACACCTGGCTATGTCGTCACTTTAGCGGGATGTTTCATAACAACACCTGGCTATGTCGTCACTTCAGCTGGATGTTTCATAACATCACATGGCTATGTCGTAACTTCAGCTGGATGTTTAACAACACATGGCTATGTCGTCACATCAGCTGGATGTTTCATAACAACACCTGGCTATGTCGTCACTTCACGTAGATGTTTCTTAACAACACCTGGCTATGTCGTAACTTCAGCTGGATGTTTAACAACACCTGGCTATGTCGTCACTTCAGCTGGATGTTTCATAACACCACATGGCTATGTCGTAACTTCAGCTGGATGTTTAACAACACATGGCTATGTCGTCACATCAGCTGGATGTTTCATAACAACACCTGGCTATGTCGTCACTTCACGTAGATGTTTCTTAACAACACCTGGCTATGTCGTCACATCAGCTGGATGTTTCACAACAATAACTGGATATATCGTCACATAGCTGGATATTTCATAACAATACCTTGGTACATCATCAATTCATATGGATATTTCGCCATGTCACCTCGATGTGTCAATATATAGATATTTCGTCACCGTTTGAACTTCATGCTTACCAAAACTGTAACCTCAAAGTCATCATCAGTTCGAAATAGTCATCCGTTCACCGGCAGTGGATGGGTACCTTGTAGGATGAGATGGTAATTTGTCTCTTAACTTTCTAGCGCCTCACAGGGACCTAATCCCCAGGGATCTGAGAATGTAATTCGTGTTCACACTGATCCTTTGCCGGGCATGCTTTAGAGGAGGAGCACTTTGATCATGCTTTAGGGTGTGGAATTGACCTTGTATAAATATGCACATTATCAAATATGCATATACATTGTATTATGTCAGTGATCCATTCATAGAATTTTCACCGATATATTCCCTTTTATGCCCAATGAAATATGTTTCATCGGATAATCGAGACTGGTTAATCTCTGGCGTTGACATTTTATTTTTATAACCAATCCAGGATATATACTGTATACCAATCTAGAATAGTGTTAATTTCATTTTTTTTATTGATTGATTATTTTGACAGTGATACAAATATAAGCAAATTTGACATTTTTGCCAACGTTATTGTTCATAATGAATGTGGAATAGAACGAGTTCAAAGGTCCCTTGCATTGTATTGTCTTCATCTGGAGATGATACTACACATGTTCCAAAGGTTCAGAACTTCCTTGCGGCCAGTGTGTTTCTCCGGTATCCCTTTGGTGTCCTAAATTAACCTTTGTTACATACAAAGTACAGGTACATACTTTATCAGGTTCCACATCATGACATTCTCGTCAAGAAAACTCTCCAACATAATTCAATACCATTGTTGTCTGTCTCTAAAGCCTGACGCAACGTTGAGCACGAACATACACAGGGATTTAACATTCAACAGCCCTGTCATCACAAAATAGCAATCACAGATTGCTTATCAAATATACCACTTCCCTTCCCTGATAAGAACTGTACACTGTACAATTAACAGTACCTATGTATATGAACACATAATGCCATTTAGAAAGTGGTCAAATGTAACAAATGATATTTTTGGGATAACACTTTCTTAGTAAAGTACAGGTTCTAGTACTTTTTGGGGTTGAGTCCCATCAGGGACGTTCGGGTTCGAATCCCGGATAGGACTCAACCCCAAAAAGAACTAGAAATATAACATTTGTACACTTATACGGACATGTGCCTGTGTTTCATGTGCAGTATTTGTTATGTTATCTAAAACGGGCGCCTGACGGGTTGAGAGGAATATCACAGTATAAATAGAAAACCTGAAACAATCTCTATAGTATATGTGTACACGTGTCTTATAGGTATTGCCGTTAAACGTAAACCTTCAAGGCTGGTTCTTGTCAAGCTTCCGACGAAAATGTAGTGGCATTGTTAGCAGTTGTGTGCGCTTGAAGTCTACGGATTCGGATTTCCAGTGGTTGTTGTGTCACCTTCCGATGGACCTGTAGTTTTATTGTCAGTAAGTGTGCTAGTTGTGTGTGGATTTGGACTTCCAGTGGTTTTTTTGTCACCTTCCGATGGTCCCTGTAGTTTTATTGTCAGTAACAGTGCTAGTTTTGTGTGGATTTGGACTTCCAAAGGTTGTTGTGTCACCTTCCGATGGACCTGTAGTTTCATTGTCAGTAAGTGTGCTAGTTGTGTGGGGATTTGGACTTACAGTAGTTGTTGTGTCGCCCTCCGATGGACCTGTAGTTTTATTGTCAGTAAGTGTGCTAGTTGTGTGTGGATTTGGACTTCCAATTGTGGTTGTGTCACTTTCGGATGGACGTGCAGCTTTATTGTTAGTAAGTGTGCTAGTTAAGTTATTGTAGCAGCAGTGTGAGGGCTTGAAGTCTACGGATTCGAATTTCAAATATTTGTTGTGTCACCCTCTTGATCGACATTTAGTGTTATTGCGAGCTTGGAATGTAGGTGGTCTTCCTTGAAAAATCTACGGATTTGCATTTCCATTCTTACGGCTTTGTGGTATTATGACATCGTCAGGTATTGTGCGAGCTGAAAGTCTACATATATAAATTGACCCTTGAGGAGTAGTAGTTAGAATATAACATCGGTTCAACAACCCACACTTTCTATTCCACAAGTGGACTGTCGATTCAGTTAGCTCCAGGCGTTCGTTCAATAGTTTATCCTTCTCAAAGTGTGCAATGTTTCCATGGAAATGAAAACCACTTTATTCCGGAAGGTCCAAGTTGACACTAACCAGCACATTACAATCTAGCCTTCAGAGTCAAATGCTCAGTGAATGTCCATGTCATTCACTCTTTTTTGAAAATAGTTTGTCTTCTCAACTGCCCTGGAAACACAATCGCCTCGTGCCACTATCACAGTCACCAATCCATCTGTATATCTTCATAATGTTTAACAACCAAGTTCCTTTATTATAAAGCCTGTTTTAATCCAGTCTCTATATAAAGAATTAGTACTAACAACGTCACACGCTTTCACATCAAGGTCAACCAATATGGCGGCATCGGCTTTGCTATATTCGCTGTTCGTTAATTTCTTCAGTATTAACTCCACCAAGGTTACTTGTTTGTCGAATACTCTTGTTGCTTCCAGTGCTGTCTTTAAATAACGCCCGCCTTATACCAAGGGCAGCAGCACCTGCTCTCTTAGTAAAAGGATCCCGAATGAGAGGTTGAACATGTCCATTGACTGTCATGGAGGCTGCGGTTAGGTTCTGTTTCTGAAATTAACAAGAGTTACACAGGTGAATTGTCGGAAAATATTGGCCTATCATCATCAACGATCAATAAAAAACAATGTATGAATTCTCCCCGTCTAAAGATTATCGCTAAAACGATACGACCAAAACAGCTCTAATTACGTTACTTCTACTATATTGAATTTCAAAATCGATAGCCATACTGAGTGTAATCGGAGACACATGTAATTGTCCGTAATGGAATTGTTGATTAAATGGGGATAGTTTTGGAACTGCACCCTTCTGAAAACATGGTTCTAGGAAATGGTTTTAATATATTCTTGTCTTAGAATCACCCACAAAATGAGCTACTACTGGAAATATTGACAAAAGGGATATACTAGTAAATAATTCACATATAAACCTATTGGTAAGAATAGGGGTAAAACCTTATAGATATTACTCAAATGAATTTCAAATCATGTTTTCAGGAACATAATAAAATGTTTCGATCAAAGTAATGTATCAAGCAGGCATGCAGTCTTAGTCCAGAAGTTCTGGCCAAATGCATGTTTGTAAACGTGTACAAAATACATGTGCAATGCAGGCATAATTTCATGCACGAAAACTCAAATTATAGAATTAGAAACTCACTGACAAAACAACTTGCATTATCACATACTATAATTTAACATGCAAAATGTATTACACGAGTAAATATAAATGAATTAGTAGCATGACATTCAAAATCTATACAATACAAAACGTGTGCTCCTAATTCTTCAGCAGTCAAACTTTCCAAACTCATTTCAACCAAAAAGCGTGATTCTATCAAAATGACTATTGCTGTTAAGAATAATGTGTTCTTGAAATAATAAATGTGAATAAAATACATAAAATAACTCATTCCAGCCTAAGACCTGCAGAAAGCGCTGCTGACGCTGCTACAAACTAAGTTTGGTATTCATCATCCCTGGTTTCGATGGATCATTTATCAATACGTTGAACCGCGCGGCAAAGGCCAATGTTGATAACAAAATACATAAATGTTTCGGCAACCGCATTGTGTATCTTTAGAACAGCACGTTTTAGGGTTAATGCAGTATTATGGGACATCTTAATCCGCTTGTGACCCGCAAATTAAATGCTTACGTCTCTGCCAAATAATAATTTAGTTTCATTGCACATGTGAATAGTTCAAATAATGCCTTTGTAAATCAGTGGCATTATGCGATGACAGATAATCTTGATTGATGATATTTAAGAATTGAAATGCTTTCTGGTCGCCCTGATATTATAATAATAAACTGAAAACCGAATTTTCGAAAAAAAAACTGATTATGGTTATTCAAAAATGAAATTTGAACCTTCTTAGACTTTTGCAATGACAAAATGTTGCTGGAGTCATCTTCACTCCAACATTAAGGACGTGACTGAGCTTTGAACAGTGAGGTCACAGTGTGTCAGCAAAATACGACAGGAAAAGGTGGCGACATGCAGATCTTAAACAAATAACACTTTGTGTGAACCACAAGCACGGGTGCGGTGCTGATAACAAGGAACAATAATCAGGACAACTCTCGAATTCGAACAAATGATCATAAGATTCTGAAACGCCAAAGTGACGCAAGTTGCTGCGACGAAAAGCCGTGATAACTCCTGCCCTCAACTCTTAGTATGAGTGTACAGTGGACAATGGACAATGATACTTTGATCATCAAGGTACCTAAAACCTATCCAAAATCTTTATTCGGCACTGTCTAAAGAAAATACCATCTTCTAAAATGTTGGTTACATTTCAACTCGGGAGGCAATCAATCAACGGAATAAACACTTAGAAATATTCTTGTAATTTAAAAGAAATTAAAAGTTATTCGAATTTATTACAGTATTTTAGACATTTTGGCATAAGCGTTAACAATCTGGAAATAACCCTTCATGCCACGTTTCTCAAAAGATGGAAACAAAAGTTATCTTTCTCGTGTTGCCAATGGTGCATGCGTACCATTTTCGCGAACATGGCGTCATCGTTAGACTTTTGTATTATTGCATCTAAAGGAATATTTCGTAAATTGCTTACATTGTTCTTTTTTTGTGAGATGGTGACGGAGAGTGATATTTTAAGACACCTACGTTTATATGTTTCTTTCGAAAAGGTCGTGATTGCCATTTGGAACAACATAGAGATAGAAGCTGATCCGTCGAAAACCGAGGATGACGAGCATAGTATGTCTCTTTAGTAACGAAACAATTTAGATGGACTTGATTCTCGTCATTTCGTATGTAAATTCGCTGAAACTACTGTTTGAAATATAACCCATGACAATATTGGCCCTGTTCGTTAACTCATTAAAAGAACACTGTGAGATTTTATTACCGTTCGGATAAATGAGGCTTGTTCATTGCCTAAAATATGCAGGCTATTGTTTTTTAACATGTTCTAGTTGGCAACAGAGCTGAATATCGATAATTGGTCCTACTCTACTGAATTTTCTTGCCAACTCTCTTTCATTTTGCACATGCAAAATAAAATAATAATTGAAAGGTTGTCATAAATAATGTCAGCCAATTCCTACAAACGAGTAGATTAAAACATATTGTGGCATCAATACTTCTCAAAATCACCATTATAATACTTTAACTTTGTGAGTGAGTGAGTGAGTGAGGGTTTTAAGCCGCTTTTAGCAATTTTCCATCCATATCGCGGCGGGGGACACCGGAAACGTGCTTCACACAGTTTACCCATATGGGAAATCGAACCTGTGTCTTAGTTCTGACGATCAAACCCTTAACCACTGGGCTGCACGTCCCATGATTAAGTTAAACTAGAGCCTTTTTGTTTTTAGTGCTTAATAGTTATGAACTCTAAACCAAAATAGTCAAAGTGTGTGATCATGTGCTCATGTATCGGTGACGTAATGACATTACGTACACATGTACCTGTGACGCGGAGGTGTGAGATACCTCGCTGAAGGATGTAAAGATGCTAAGTGATCTGCTCATGCGTCTTAAGCTTGATGTATGTATGAGCCTACGTTGTCGATATCTCTCCCAGTGCCTCCGTATTGTCACTCGTACCTGTTGCCATAGAAACACTTGTCAATATCCATTAGTCTACATTACTATCCCGTGTACATTTCAGAGGCAATTTCAATCACAATCTGAAACGATTTTATCGTCCATGTAATTCAAATCAATACCATGAAGGCTCTCACACGTGATGTAGTACATGATCCGTCCGAAATGATTTTGTAGCCACGGTATTTTTAAAAAAAAACTCTTCTTGATCATTACATTAATTATCAAACAAAAAAATCTGATCAAACTGTAATGAAATTGCCTTCTGATCTATGTTTCGATTTGGAACGTCTCCTAGAATTGATTTTTAGAAGTTAATTGAGTCTTGAATAAACCATGAAATCATTTGACTGTAGTTCCAAATCGATACACGTTAGGTAAGTCATGCTGTGCAATGGTGCTCATATAACACAAGAATGCAAAGTTTGAAAGTTAGACTGCGCATGTCCTAATCTGTGCTGCATGCTGGTAGCCAGACAACGTCATGTATATTTGTGTAGGACGTCATCACTTCTTGTGTACCTTGTTACTTCCGTTTCGCCATGTTACCGTGGAATAGTCGAGAGATGCTGACGTTGGGTATCTTCGACATAACTGTCTCTGTAGGGTTATTTGCACCTAGGTTCATTAATATTGGAATGATAAATGCTTTTGTTTGTTTCTTTGCAAAACAGACAACATATGAAATAATTAATTCTGAAATGCTTTATGATGCATCTATCTGAAGATGAAACAATACAGACGTTACTTTGTAAAGTGAAGCACATAAACCTGTGTAGGGTCGTGTCCAGTTAGGGTAAACCGGCTTTACGGGGTTTCATCTTACTTCATTTCCACATCAGAGCATATATGCAGAATATAGACACATAATCTTTTGATGTGCTTATAAATTTTGAATTAATATCCCGTTGCGAAAAAACATCTTGGCATAAAAATACAAATATAAAATGCTTGAGATTTGGTTTCAATATAATAGTTACATAATATATGACACACTTATGTCATATAAATTCATGTATATAACACGGTATTAGTCGTGGGAAATAAATCAAAATACGTGTGTTGTTAATCAGATTGTGTGCTTCATTTTGAAGTAACTGAACCACTTGTGCAAGTGTGATATTGTGCAATCATATTATGATATAAGTTGAAATAGTAGACATATATATAAATACAGGTACATATTTGTAAACCATTGTTCTTATATCAGTTAACAGTTTCATCATCCAACAGATTCAATAGCTCTCTTATCAATCTTATCATACTTTCATTCTTTTCAACGTCCAGTCATATCTACTTTGTGTTGGTTGGCTTGTCCAATCCAAGATACAATAATGAACTGATAGTAAGTCGTCTAATTGTGCTCATATGTTTTAATTCTCTCTCCCATTCCTAGCGCCAACGCATGCAGTGATGGACTACATTTCAAATTAAACTGCTCAAATGAGCTGAACAAATTAAATCGTAATTCATTTACTCAATTATGTTTTCAAGTAATCTAAATAAACTGCTTCTCTATTCTCCCATTCACTAACGGCTACTCGATCACTTCTCGGCTTCTAAACACACACCAACGGTTATAGGGGCACAATGCTCCATGGTTTTAGATTAAATTCCCGTCTCGGTCTCGACAATTAAATCGACATTGTATAATGAGAGTAATCCTTTATGAATGGGACATTGATAAACATAGTAAACACTGAGCTAGCAGATAAACTGGTGGGACTGTCATTGTCACCGAGCCTAACACCCATCACCAATTCAACCATGGCTGCATAACTGTTGAGACCAATCAAATTTTCATACAGTTATGGTCACAAGGCACCCTTTCTCTCAAAGGTTCAAATCACTGAGACAATAAGTCCATAGACAATAAATTGGCTCCTTGCACATAAAAGTCATGTTCTATCAAAATATGCATCTATCAAAATATGTACATGTATGTAAAACCCTATCAAATCACGTTGGCAAGCCATTCCTGAGTCAGGCCAACCTTTCAATGAGATATAGTTACAGCGTAGGAGTGGTATTCAACTTACCTCTCCATTTAGGAAGCAGTAGAGCAGTGAGATGAAGAAACCTTCAAATGAGATGAGGAAATGTGCGCTGAATGCCCACACACCAAACTTGATGATGTTGTCATGACTCGGCTCTATCATCACGACAAAGTTCGTTATACCAAGCAATGGTAGCAGTACTATTGCCGCCTTTACTGCTTTTCTGAAAGCGGAAAAACAAAGTGGTAATTAATCATAACATTGATAAAAAAAACAAGTTCATATATTCTTGGGGTCCGGTTTGAGGAGAAGAGGCTGAGGTTTGGTTTCCAGAAATACTGGAATAAATAATCAAATTTGTCTAAGACGAAATGGGAAATAAAAATACAATTATCATTATTTTTTTATTATCCTATGATTACACATGGACCCAATGACATAATGACAAGGGATTAGATATTTAAATACAACCCCCGCTTCTTGATGTCTCAGGGCTACACGCATTGTTTGACATTTTGAAAAGGAGGATGAGAAAAACACCACCCCGATCTATGTCTACGACCATTGAGATGAAATGTGCGATACACGACGTTGATATTTACAGAACTGTATCATTAATTATTTCTGTCGTTTTGGTAAATGTCATCTGCTGTTGATAATGGTTGTATTTTATATTGATGATGACGAGGGTGCATTTATATTGTTCTGGAAACGTCAATTTAAATTTAGGAATCATCCTTGAATAAAAGTTAAAGAGTGCGATCTCATACAATTAGATATCCATTTCAGCATATCAACTGAATTTACAATAACTGTATTTGACGAACGATTTATGTCAGACAATATTGATTATTATATCTCCTGTCAATATTCATAATATCTTTCATTCTATTCTGAACGTATTATTAAAGAACTACAAACACACATACATCCAGAGGCACACAGGTACAGACACACTTACACACAATCTGCATACAGAAGCACACAGATACAGACAGACGTCCGCAAACACACACACAAACAAACATGCATACACGGGCAGATATGGAAACATACACACAGATACAGACAGACGTACGCAAACACACACACAAACAAACATGCATACACGGGCAGATATGGAAACATACACACAGATACAGACACACGAACACACCCATAACTATCGGTTTGAATCTGGGAATCGAACCCACCACAGCACAGACACACACACACACAAACACAGACAGACACACCCCCCCCCCCCCCACACACACACACACACACACACACACACACACACAAATAACCTTCAAAGTTACGTAACATACAGTTGATGATGGCATTAGTTTTACTGATTATATATATTGACAAGCAAGTCAAGAATATTTTGGGTAAAACATGATAGTAAGTCTGTGGGCGTTGGAAAAAAATATGGTATCATTCAGCTCTCGTCAGAAAAGTAGGTGTGTGTTTGTGTTAGTGTTAGTGTGTGTTAGTGTTAGTGTTAGTGTTAGTGTTAGTGTGTGTGTGTGTTAGTGTGTGTGTTAGTGTGTGTGTGTGTGTGTGTGTGTGTGTGTGTGTGTGTGTGTGTGTGTGTGTGTGTGTGTGTGTGTGTGTGTGTGTGTGTGTGTGTGTGTGTGTGTGTGTGTGTGTTTGTGTATTACTCGTCTGTGTGAAGTGATCAAAGTAGACTATTCAACGATAATGAAGAATGCTATTCTGAAAACACAACATTGAAATACCAACCGAACTTTGTTTGCTTCATTTGTGTGGCTCTGTCTGAGTTTCATCACCAGCACCCGGATGATGTTTAAAAGGAATAATAAATTGACCTGGAAATAAGGCAGATACAGTTAATCATAATCATAATCATAATAGTACATCTGAACTGCGCCAAAATCCATATTCGCTAGTGGTTAATAAACACATGGTCATGACATAGTCAGAATCGTACAGTAGACTCTGCATTTAGCAGAGATTCCTAAATTATCATGGAAAAGGATTTGTTGCTTTCATTTAAGAATTCAGCTAAACAAGCAAGATTATCTGTCGCAAAATAGCAATGTCTTACGTCGTGAGGGGATTAACCGTTGTGCAGCAGGGATGTATTTGAAAGTGCAACATATTGGTGACATTTCAATAGTCAGCTAAGGTCAGACATGTCCTGCCAGTTAATATGTCAACACCAATATAAAGTGATACTGTCTGTCTACGTGTCTAATTGATCTTTAGTTGGGAAAGCCCATTATCGCTTGCCACACACTATGTGTCAATACAACATATTTGTGATTAAACATTCATAAGAATGCGGTCTTTGTTACTGTAATATCTACCGTGTAATTGACCGGGCCCGTGAAGAATCGGGTTAGAATTGGTGTTCAGAGAGCCATGCTTGTCGTAAAAGGTGACTAACGGGATTGTTTGGTCAGGCTTATTGATTTGTTTATGCATGTCATCGTATCCCAATGGCGTAGATCGATGCTCATGATCTCAATAACTGGATTGTCTCGTCCAGACGTGTTGTTTTACAAAACGTCCTTATATATTGCGGAGTTAAACAACAAACGAAGAAACAAAGCATAGGGCCGGCTCCGTGGCCTTGTGGAAAGAGCGCCTCTCCGGGGTGAGAAGGTTGGTGGTTCGATCGCCTGGCATCGACATACTTAGAGGATGGTACTTGTTGTTACCCTGCCTGGCTCTCGGCATTATGGGGATCATCACTCTGTGTCTGATCATGAGTGGGTATCCATGTTAAAATGTGGCTTGGTATCTCAGTTACCTTGCAATATAAAACCGGCATAAATCCGGACTAGTACAAGCAGCCACAACCACACGTACAAACACGTCCATTAATGCAATAGTGCATCAGTCATAAACGTAACGTTAAAAAGACATTTCGCCTCACATAACCTCTCTTGCATACATACACGTCTATGTACTTACAGCTATTACTGCAACCCTAGGCGCTTCAATGATCCATATTATTTTAAGATAGTAATATGCATACCAGCATCTGAAAAATGCAAGAATCATATAAGGATTATTAGTAATGAACAGGTAATAAATTCAAATGTGATGATGTACTAAAACTCTACCTGACTTTAGCCGATTCATTAAATTTAATTAATTATCCCTTTTGCCAGTACCACGTACATTGTACATTTACACTTATACATAAGTCGGTTAACAGATACATGACAAGAAAAAAAACACACTGTACGACCCAATGCCTCGTTCTTCGAATCTCATGATTTCGACCCTTGGTAACAGTACACATGTACAGTTCTCGCAGTGTGAGAACGCGACCATGCCCCTTATGTTCCCAAGAGACAAAGCTGACTGATTTTCTCTGGTATTCCTACGAGATGACCTGTGCATTGTCGGCACTTAAATGCGAGTCAATGAGCTGCATGATGATATATGATGGTATGAGCTGTTACACTGTACGTTATGACGATATTAACTGTAAACCAGTATGATAATATTGATGAACTCGTAGCAGTATGATAATATCAACTGTTAACCACAATGATGATATTAACTGTTAACTATTGTGATAATATTAACTGTAAGCAGTATGATAATATCAACTGTTAACAGCAATTATGATATTAGCTGTTAACTAATGTGATAATATTAGTAATTAATTTTACTGGTATATAGACGAGCAAATAACCTATATAAATACTTACTTTGCAACATACATCTGTGTCATAGCGACTACCCACGCCACTATCAACAACACAGGAAACCCTGGAATGTAAACAAGCATATATTGATACAATTGACACCGGGAATGTAAACAAGCATATATTGATACATCGACACCGGGAATGTAAACAAGCATATATTGATACAATTGACACCAGGGATGTAAACAAGCATATATTGGTACAATTGACACCAGGAATGTAAACAAGCATATATTGATACAATTGACACCGGGAATGTAAACAAGCATTCATTGATAGATATTACATCCCTAAGAGTAAGTAAGAATATATTAACAAATTAAACATCCCTGTGTGTAAACAAACACATATTGATACATTTTACATCAGGAATTTAAACAAGCACAGTCTTAAATGCAAACAAGTATGTATTGATAGATTATACAAGGTGGAGTATAAACAAGTATGTATTGATAGATTATTCAAGGTGGAGTATAAACAAGTACTGAACAACAAAAGTTCCTGTGACATTGAATACGATTTAATGCAAAATTATGTTTTTTTACCAAATCTGTAACAATTTCGTTTTGCAACACATAAAAGACTCCTGTAAGTGTTCAAATGGTTTAATTTGCTTCACTGACTTCAGAAAATGCGTGAACATGCCAAAATGTCACTTTACAAATCAATAGCGTGTGTGTCCACCTCTGGTTGCGATGCAAGCAGCACATCTTCGTCTCATGGAATGGACCAGGCGTCGCACAAAGTCCTGTGGGATATTGGTGCATAGCTGCTGGAGCATGTTTCGAAGTTCCTGGAGTGCCTGTGGAACACGTGGTTGACGTCGAAGGCGCCGATCCATCTCATCCAACATGTGCTCGATTGATGAGAAATCAGGGGAGCGAGCCGGCCAGGGGATGACATTCAAGTTGTTTTATTGAAGAGAATCCTGAACAAGTCGAGCAATATGAGGCCGGGCGTTGTCATGTTTAAAGGTAATGCCTGGGCCATGACAACGCAAAAACGGTAGAACAACAGGGCCAATGATCTCGTCGCGGTAGCGCTGTCCATTGAAATTTCCCTCAACCGCTATCAAACGGGTCCTCTGTCTTGTTGTAATCCCACCCCATACCATAACGCTGCTGCCCCGAACCGATCTTCTTCCATGACAAAATGATTGACGTAAGGTTCACCTCGACTTCGAATTCGTCCATCGCTGTGGCTGAGGTGAAAACGTGACTCGTCAGTGAACAGAACTTGTCCCCACTGCATGGCCATCCAGCGTAGACGCTGTCTGCACCACTGTACGGTTTGTGAAGATATTCGTCGAAGGCCAGGGATGCTTCTTGCAGTCACTGTTGCTGGCTGGAATCGATTTCGTAGGTGTATTGTTCGAATCCAGTTATCTTGTTGATTATTGGTAACGCGTGGCCTGCCACTCCGAGGATGGTCTCTGACTGCATTCGTCTGTTGCCAACGTTGCCATAAACACCAAATGGTGTTTCTGTGGACGTTAAACATTCTGCTTCAAGCATACCAATGGCTCGCAGACTCGCATTTTCGGACAGGCGTGGCATTTCGTAATGTTGAATAATTGCGTAATTTTTTTTGTTTTTCTGAGTGGTTGTTGTCAGCACGATGCTAAACACTGCATATGGAATCCCGTTAACGCACATGTCTTTATACACATTCTTGGGTACTGAAATGCATGGGGCTTGCATAAAAGTCAACTTTTGCATGGAATGCATGCTTTTCTGTAGCAGTTGCGTTTTAGTGACTTGATTCCATACAAGTATTACAATACTGAAAACCAAACTTTACTTGTTCGAAAAATACACTAAAATATTGTTGTCACATGAACATGTGTTGTTCAGTTTGTGTACTGATAGATTATACAAGGTAGAGTATAAACATGTATGTACTGATAGATTTTACAAGATGGAGTATAAACAAGTATGTTCTGATAGATTATACAAGGTTGAGTATAAACAAGTATGACTGATAGATTATACACTCTTAAATGCAAACAAGTATGTACTGATAGATTATACAAGGTTGAGTATAAACAAATATGTACTCATATATAAATCAGGGTGGAGTATAAACACGTATGTACTGATATATTATACAAGGTGGAGTATAAACATGTATGTACTGATATATTATACAAGGTGGAGTATAAACAAGTATGTACTGATAGATTATACACGATGGAGTATAAACAAGTATGTACGGATAGATGATACACTCTTAAATGCAAACAAGTGTGTACTGATGTATTATACAAGGTGGAGTATAAACAAGTATGTACTGATAGATTATACAAGATGGAGTATAAAGAAGTATGTACTGATAAATTATACAAGGTGGAGTTTAAACAAGTATGTACTGATAGCTTATACAAGGTGAGTATAAACAAGAATGGACTGATAGATTACACAAGGTGGAGTATAAACAAGTGGGTATATATATATATATATATATATATATATATATATATATATATATATATATATATATATATATATATATATATTCTAAACCACGATTTTGTGATAGATATAGATGTGTTACAATATTTGGGCTAAAACCTGATGTCGAAATCGCAGCATGTACACCTCTTATGTCATATTCTATCTACCCCCCCCCCCCCCCCCCCCCCCCTCTCTCTCTCTCTCTCTCTCTCTCTCTCCTTGTAACATATACAAGGGCACTCCGTACTCTTAGGTCATTCAAACTGACAGTTTTCTAAGTAGACTAGCATATAGATGGTAAAAACCCCGATTGTTTTAATCCTGCAGCATTCAATACCTATTATTCAAGTTATTCAACAACTGTAAGCCGTTGTCCTATCCACAGCATTTTTTAATATTATTAACGATGCTACAGGTCACGTAACGCATGTGTTTCTGATGAAAAAAGCCTAGGCACTTGTAATGAATCAATCAGTAACAAGCAAGTCGGAATCAGATAAGAGTATGGATTCCCGAAACAGCAACGGGTACACGTTTGATTGTTTCTAGTCATGCAAGTATGTACATAATTAATTACAATTGCTATTTCAGGCTTGAAAACTACTGCTTGCAATAAAATCGATGACTTATCGAAGAGATAATTGTCACTCATGTTCATTCATTATTGGTGAACCGAAAGTAGAACCCAACTTTGTTTCAGAGTGGATTTTTGTTATCTGGAGTCAACAATCTGCTGTGACTAAACATAAATCTGACCACATCGTGTAGGTGAGGTGAAACAGTGTTCCCCTTTTATAGCAAGGTGCATGCACGCGCGTGTGTGTGGCTGCTTGTACTAGTTCTAACAAACGCGTTTTTCTCGTGCGGACCCACTTGTGTACCATATCGCAGTTGGACATGGATGCCCCACTCAGACATAGTATACAGATGACTACGATCCGATCAGTGTTTGTATTATCGAATTAATGACGACCGCCAGGCAACAACAAGTTCCATCTTTTAACGTATTTTAGTATTATACGGCCAGGGGATAGTTCAGCCGGCTTTCGGCTTTCAGGGCAGACACTTTCGACTACACCATATCGCCACATTAACTACATAAATGCACATCCATTATTCATTAACAGGTGAATTTTAATGCATGTTTAAATTTAAAATTTTCATAACTGAGGTTGTGGGGTAGGCCAGTGGTTAAAGCGTTCGGAAGTCATGGGATCGATTCCCTCCATGGGCACTTGGGAAACATTCCAAGTATCTCCTTTGGCACTGGTCAATTAAAGACACCAAACTCACTCACTCACACACTCACTAAAAAATGTAGTCGGTGGGGTAGCCTAGTAGTTAAACATAAGTTCGTCACGCCGTCGACAGGGTTCGATTCCCAAACAGGACTTTTAGATAAATGTGTAAAGCCTATTTCTGTTGTGTTACCTGCACCCGTTGTGATATGACCGAAATATTGCAAGAAACAGTGTACAGCCCAACTTACTCATTTACAAAAAAAACAATTCTATCTGACTATCATGCAGCTTAAGATTGTATTACGTCCATCTGTTAGTACAGATCTCAACCAATGCAAGGACGGTAGTTTAGTATTAGAGAAACTGGTGGGCTGTGTTTGGAAGGATTTCCGCCGGTAACACCACCTGCCTTAGTTAGGGCAACCTAACCCTAACCCTAACCCTAACCCTTACCCTAACATTCGGAAATATTTGTTATTTTTCGTTTCTTTTTCGAGATACAGAAATCAGATATATGGGTGTGAATGTTTCGTTTACTCGTGCAGAGAATATAATAATTTATATATTATACTGATTAGCTGATAAAAGTTTTCCTGACGCGATGTCATTTGCAGAGAACAAACATTTCCGCTGGAAATAGATCTCTGAGGTACCTCGCATTCGTGACCAACTCGTTATTCCGGGACAAGCCGATTAGCGACTCGTGCCCCTCTCATGGCCATTTTTGATACCGGGTTCCGTCTTAGCGCAAACGGACATACCTAAAACAATTGTCAACTCGCTGCGTAATGGTTCACATATATTTCCCCATATATTATATATTTTTCAGATGCAATCTAAAGCACATCGGGACATGCGGAATTGGGTATATTTTTAGATGCAAGACATATGTAAAATCAAAAATTATTTCTGAGGGATTCTTTGACGAAGAACTTGAAATCATACGCGCATTCTGATTGGTTTGTCGTATTTTCGCACATAACATTCATCAACGGGGGACGAGTCTTCTTGCAGGTTACGGAAAGGGGCGAATGGTGACGAATGAGGTGACTCGTTGTCATTGTAAGCCGGGTCTATATTTGACATGTGGACATACCTAGCACATGACTGTCACGTGACAGCTTGCTTGCAGTCGACAGACACAAACGCCTTATTGGGAGTAAAAGTCACAGAAAACTGGTCACCTGGTAGTCGTATGTGATTATGAAAGGCGATACATCCCTACCTTGACAAAAGCAAGCCATGATCTTTCTTCACAGTCATCATGTTGGAATAATACGTTTTTAATTTTATTTTGTTTATAAAGTCGTTCCAGTACATTGAATATGTAAGAAGAAAAAATCTAAATAAGTCACTACGTATATATGAAAATAACTACGTATGTATAAGACTAACAAAACAATAAACACAGATTAACGTGCGTGTATAGACGGAGAACTGTTCACTGTATGGGGAAAAGGTACCTCCTTCTCCACACTCACAGCCAAGTCCTCTTTGCGATTATGGAGAGTTATCGTATCAGAGTATATAATCTCATTTTAATGAGATACATAATCAGAGCTAGTCCGACATAAACGGTAACATAATACCCTCTTCTACGTCACATGTTCCTTCTCTGGTCAAGAAAAAAGCTCCTCTGTCGTCTTGAGGTCGAGCCTGGGAACTATTGACTATGAACTTTAGTCGGCGAGATGTACTTCAGCCAATTATACAGACAGATAACAGACAAGTTTAAATTAGATGAGACTAATGCGTATTGATGTGTAATAGATAGCGCTGTTACTAGACTCTTCAAAGCTTTTTCAGTTTCGGATTAATTTCCTGTCCCGAAGCATTCTTAGTCGCTGACTACTTCAACCGGATGGTATTTCAATTATTTAAAGAAAGGCACAGTTTCGACATTCACGCTACATTTCCCAAACCCTGACTGATAAGTCGAACAATCGAAAACTGATAACGAACAAGACGTTGAAGTTCGAGATATGATATATAATAGAGGCGGGGGGGTAGCACAGAGGTTAAAGTGGTCGCCCGTCACGCGAAATGCCCTGATTTGATCCCCAACATGGGCACAATGTGTGGAGCCCATTGTCGGTATCCTCCCCCGTGCTGCCACTAGAATATTGCTAATAACGGAATTAAACAATACTTATTCACTAAGTCAAAACAAACGTTTATGTAGATACTTCCCAGAGCAAGAATGTTTCTGGGTTAACAAGACATTTATTGATCTAGTGTTGTACAAGTTTGCATATCCCGGAGGCCTTAATTCAAAAACAATGTTTGCTGTGTTTTGTTGTTTAACGCCTCACCATATTTCAGCTATATGACGCCGGGCTGTATATTATCGAGTCACAACCAGACAATCCAGTGATTGATATCATGAGCAGCGATCTAAGCAATTGGGGTACGATAACATGCATCAACCAAGTCAGCGAGCCTGACCACCCGATCCCGGGAGTCGCATCTTACGACAAGCATAGTTGCCTTTTACAGCAAGCATAGGTTGCTGAAGACCTATTCCACCCCGGATCTTCACGGGTCGCATAGGTTGCTGGGGTATTATATTCCTATCCGGATTCCCAATGGTTTCAAAGCAAAAGTCAATAAGATCGTGACCGGACTGCGAAAGTTTTGCTTGGGTAGGGACTTTTTTATTGTCTAGTTATGCAGAGCTACGATACCCTTCAGGTTTTGACGTTATAAAACCAATGGTAACTGTAGTTTGTCTTGAAATGACCAACGGTAATCTGACATTTGATTGTACCTTATTTGATAAGTGAGTGATTGAGTTAGCTTTTACGCTACTGTTAGCACTATACAAGCAATATCACGGCGGGGAACAGCAGAATTGGGCTTCACATAATGTACCCATATTGAGAAATATAACCCGGTGATTCGGCGTGACGACCATATTTGACAATTTTCAGCATTATGAAATACTGTAAAATAAAAATATTGTATACAGGTATGACTTGAAGAGACAGGGTTGTAAATGTAAAGTCACTTAACCCCAATTGATAACAATTTTGACCTTTTTGGTGATTATAATATGTGATCGTAATATAGATTTGGACCTTTTAACAACGTCTTTAAGGTCACGGAATAGATGTGTCTTGTTATTTCATGTATTAAATGCAAGCCACGCCAGTTAATATAGATTTCGGCATTTTAATTTTCCCCAACGTCAATTCATTTGGATCGTGACCTTTGTGATTACCCAGCCACGTCGTTTTCTCCAGATTTTGACAATTTCGCAATTATCTCAACATCAGTTGGTATTGATTTGGCTGGTGTAACATCTTCCCAAAGCCAATGCATCTGGATATGACCCGTTAATAAATACCCGAAACGTAAACAAATTTAGCTTTTGTTAATTTCATAATGTCACAAGCGTTATTTATTCAAATCCTTTCACACTGTTCACAACGTCAGTCAAAAGGTATATTTTTCATACATACATATCAAAAATATGTAAAAATGATAAAACGGAGTTCTAAAAGAACTGGAACGTTTAAAATTAAATACATTCATACTATAAATATTTGATTGTAATGCACCGTTTTGGTGTATCGATGCTTCACCTGGAAACAGGTGCTTCCTGCATCTTAAAACCACCAATCAATAGACTCGTAGCACGATTTCAAGATGCAATTAACTCTAACCGAAATATGACACCTGTTTAATTATGAATATCCTGTCAAAACATAAAGAAAACCACATATACCAAATTATCTCAAGGTCAATATGAAGGACTACCGAGATATGTCATGTAATCCATATAATGTCTGCTTCTGAAGATGAAAGGCTTGACGAAGATTGGATCGATGCGTTCTCTGCAACTGCTGTTAAACGGCATATAACGTGTACGTAGTTAACCTGCATCTTCAGCCTCACTTACATGTTAAGGAAGTGTCTATAACACTTCATATTGTTTATTAAAATCATAATCCATCAAAAGCAGCACGTGCAGCACGTTCACAGTAATTATTCTTTTGTCAGCATAGAATGCTGACCGGATTACTCTTTTACAAAAAAAAAAATCTAGAATAATCAACTTATCGGTTTTCAAGTTTGAAATTTTGTACAATATCATGATTTAAAACAATAATTAAGAAAAAATCAGCGTTTTATAATGCATCCCTGTTTCAGCCTTGTAAAAAATATAATGGTGGATTCAATTTGTATTTGTATCGATATCGGGAAATGGTGTTTGATACTGCTGTTTGTTTAGGACATTTGGAATACTATTTGACTTATGCTTATGCATTTGAGAATAATGAGATATTATTAGGCTTTTTTAATAGGAATTATCAATTATTTTTTCTAATAAAAAAATGCATTTTGAGAAATTGTGATAAGGGCTTTTATGTGCTTGAAGGCATGAAATATGAAACTGAGTGAAACAACGTACACATGCTTGATGGTCTAATTTCACTTTCAGACGAAGTTTTTTAAATGGCGTATAGTCAACGTCATTATTTAGGGGTCACGCTGAAAATAAGAGATACAAGTATTATGAGAAACTTGCAATTTTAATTGCAGTTCAGGGGGGTGGGGGTTAAAGCGTTTGCTCGTCACGCCGTAGGCCCGGGTTCGATTCCCAACATGAGTACAATGTGTGAAGCCCATTTGTCCCGCCGTGTATTGCTGGAATATTGCTAAAAGATGCGTAAAAGCCAACTCCCTGACTCACTTATTACACTATTCATATTTTTTGAGTGGACATTTAATATAACAGCTTTTACCTGGTAAAACATCAGAATAGAATGCCTTAGTATCTGAATATCAGAGGCGGATCCCGGATTTTGAAAAAAAGGATGTCAGCGAAATAATTTCATAATACGAAATGATTTGGCCGAGGGAACAGTTAACGTTTCATGTGTCTGACAAAAGGGGGATGCGAACCACCTGCACTAACATAATCACATATTTAAAAAAATACATAAAAGTTTTAATGAATAAATGTTTACTCCCATATCGTAGTGCTCATTAGCTTATAAATACACGACGGAATCTAAATCGGATATAGTATAAACCAATCTTGTGTTTCTCCGTCAAGCTGAAGATAAGTGTTCAGTTCCCTGCATCCCCAGTAGTACAGTGGATAGAGCGTCTGCCCTCTGAGCGGATGGTTCGTGGTTCGATCCACGATCATCAAAGACATTTAAAGATATGGTACTTGTTGTTACTCTGCCTAACACTCGGCATGAAGGGGCTAAAACAAGGACTGGTTAGCAAAAAGTCGATATACTGTGTCTGAGAGGGTGAACATCTTAAACTGTGACATGGTACTGTATCTCAGCAGGCTAGCACGAAAAAGTCTGCCTAAGTCCAAACAAGTACAATTATCTTGAACGCGACGTTAAATCCCATTTCACCTCTCTCTGTGATATGGGGTCACGGGTGGCCCAGTCGTCTAAGGCGCCGCGATTCGCTGTGCAGAGTTGCGTCCCTTGGGCACGCCAGAAACCTATAATTTTTGGTTCGAATCCCGGTTCGGCCCAATTATGTTTCTAGGTTTGTCAGCACCATACCCGTGCTCATGGGTTTCACCGAAGTGGTAAACGTCTAAGACCTGCATCACTTCGGGCTTTCCTCCCACATTAAGCTGAAACGCCGCGATATAACTGTATTACTGTTAAAAGTGGCGTTAAACCCAACTCACTCACTCACTGTGATATGATGGGAAATTGCAAAAGGTGGTGTTTTGCTGTACTCATCAACCTATTCACTTTGTGTGTCATTGTGATCCGTGATGTTTTTCACAAAAATACTCGTCCAGACTGTTTACGAAATAGCAATTAAACTCACCCCATCCTATGGCGTAGAAAACAGCATAATTCGGCTTCCCGGAAAACACCGAGACGGCGATCATGTTGTGCAAATAGAGACCCTCGACGAACATCCACATGAATTTGACAGTTTTAGTATATTCCAAGATTGCGTACAGGATTTCACAAAACACCGGCTGAAAGGAAAAGAAAAAGATATATCGATTAACTTGTTGTTCGGCGCTATTTTAGTCCCATGGAATAAAAAGTTGTTGGCGACGACCCGCTGTTAAGACAAAATGGTTATATGTTATCATATATAGTTTACTGTGACTTGTAAATGTGTATGTGGTGGTGTTTGCATTGTTATGTTGGTTGTGTTACATTAACCTTCACTTTTAAGTTTATAATGGTTCTTGAACATACACTGTAAATAAATGTGTGAAAGTAATCTACACATGCTTGACATGTTAACTCAAAACGTTTAGGATTAGGATTTGTGTGTTTTGACGATAAACACAAGAAATTTGCTCAGATCTCAACATACCAATAATACATAGATTATATTTTTAACATTGTATCCTAAAGATGTTTCAACCTTTTATCATGTTAAGATTTTAAACACACTAAGCTTCGAAATATAAATATGTAAGTCTTGTTAGCACAATTCCGAACATGTTTAAGATATAAACATGCTTGGCCTCTAAATGGGGTTGAATACGGGATAATGAACCTATTAATGTTTGTTTTAAAAGCTAAACACATTATTTCAATTTTTCTTTTATACTTTTTTTTCCGAATGAACTTTACTTTTCATATGACTATACTAGAACGAGTCCCCAAGGCCGTAACACGTTATATCAATTTTTATAATGTCCCGATAATTACAAAATGAGTAAGATTATCTGAAAGATTAACGTCAACGCGCCAGAGAATAATAAGTCTTGGCCATCCGCCGAAAGAGTGAGTGAGTGAGTGAGTTGGGTTTAACGCCACTTTTAACGGTAATCCAGTTATATCTCGGCGTTTTTCATGCCCCTGCCCAAATATTTATTTTGTTGTTGATTTAGCAAAATTTACAAAAGCTATTGCGCTTGTGGTGACACACTCGGGGACTTCAGTCCAAGACCAAAAGCATCGACCCAATTTATGTAAGTGTACAACGTTAAGGCCAGCAATAACCAGTCTCGAATATCGGAAAAATACAAAGAAAACAAATATAACTTTTCTGTAAAATTCAATAATTAAGTTTGGAGTTCTTCTTTCGAGAAAACGCATCTGTTCGGCTGTATCTCGTTTCTTACTCGTGCTTTCGACCATTAACCAGTAAGGGATTACATGTCACGTAATTAACAGTCTCTGAAACAGGATAAGGGCAGCAACGTCGTTAGTCACGGGACGTGACAGGCTAGCAACTTGATGGTTCGGCTTACATTAGGAAAATGACTCACCTCAGTTCAACACGAAAGCATGCCGGGTATTTGAGACATGTCTGAAGATGACAAGGTAATCCTTAAGTAAGGTCAATAGCGTTCCTTGAATCGTTATGATTATTACATATTCAGACTATCGAATCGTTGGCACATAATAGTGTCCCTTATAAAAAAGAACAGTAATTGTTCGTGGACGGGACACGAAGTATTTTTAATGTAACTCAATTTCGGATAAACTCGCTCATTCATTTTAGGATATAATATTTTATTTTAGCCCGAAATTTGTTAAACTTAATTTCCTTCTCACGAGAGAAGTTTCTGAATTTTTTTCTCGAACACCTGGAGTCATAAATAAATTTAATAAATAAAAAAACATACAAGTACATGTCAAGGTTCTGGGATGTTAATGAGGGGTCTATATTTTAATATCTACTAGCTTTGTGTAGTTGTTTTGTCTGATGGACTTTGACAGTGTCTGTCAGTTAGTCAACAGTCAATTTCTGCAAATTTTATGAAAGGCGGGTGCTACCGGTAGGGCAGGACATGCTTACCCTTTTCGCGAACACCTGGTGTCGTCACTGAATTTCAGTGGTCCATATTTTACCCTTTACGCCAAATGGAATCTGTTTTGACAGAAAATCTAGGATTGTTATGCGGATTGGATTGGATATTCGGGGATTTAACGTGCGCTTTCCGCATGTAATAAATTACACTTTAGCGTATCTCGCACACGGGGTATTGTTTTGCTCTTGCATTGACAATTTATATTTAAAGTTTGACCGGTTATTGATCTTCACTAATAGTGGTGAGGACGGGTCGGCAGGGGTCAGGACGGGTCAGGAGGGCCTGACCCCCTCGCCACCCTTACATCCGGCAACACATCGATAGAGTAGGTATGATTGTGACAGCTCTGTGTCAATGTGCCATCCCCACCGGAAATATAGCCTTGAACCATGCAGAGTTAAGGAACTTACTGTGTCATAGATGGCGCCACTACTTCCGCTGGCAGCGCCGGCCACTTCCCCGCCCGCTGTTCTCGCTATGTACTGGTCGATGTATAGGATGAGCATGATGGAGATCTGGACAATGATGGCCACGAACAGATTCTTGTGGATGCGCGTCCGATGGCATTTCAAGTTCCTGTTAATGAAAACGTTTAACACTCCAGACGACATAAAAAGGGACAAATATTACTTCTAATGTAATTTACTGTGCAGCTGTACTAGATAAACCAATAAAATACATATCAATATATAGAAAACCCGAATGTGATGTTTATAAATTGCCTTGAATGGATTCTTTGCTGTACAGGCACCTAGAAATAGTATCTACATCATCAATGGTTGTCATCGAACGCTGATTCCTAGCGCCAAATAACTGTTATAAATGTTTTCTACACAATTTCCAAATTGGAAGTTATAACACGGGTGTACAGAATTGGAACTCATGATTGCTACGTGGTTAGGTTACGTTTTACTTTAGGTCAGCTTAAGGACATCGCTCGATGGCTTCTTTTAAGGACATTGCTAATGGACATTGTGTATACATACCTGAAATAGCTGAATATAATGAGGGACACTATAGTTACAACCAGGGAGAGACACAAGCCAATTATTTCCATGGTCCTGGCACTTGAGACGATGTCTCTGAGTACCTGAAACAGGACAGTGAGACAGTGAGACAGTGAGTCAGTGAGTCAGTGAGTTAGTGAAACTGAGTCAGTGAGTCAGTGAAACTGAGTCAGTGAGTCAGTGAAACTGAGTCAGTGAGTCAGTGAGACAGTGAGTTAGTGAGTCAGTGAGTCAGTGAGTCAGTGAAACTGAGTCAGTGAGTTAGTGAGACAGTGAGTCAGTGAGTCAGTGAGTTAGTGAGTCAGTGAGTCAGTGAGTCAGTGAGTCAGTGAGTTAGTGAGTCAGTGAGATAGTGAGACAGTGAGTCAGTGAGACAGTGAGAAAGTGAGTCAGTGAGACAGTGAGTCAGTGAGACAGTGAGTCAGTGAGTTAGTGAGTCAGTGAGTCAGCGAGTCAGTGAGACAGTGAGACAGTGAGACAGTGAGTTAGTGAGTTAGTGAGTTAGTGAGTTAGTGAGACAGTGAGTCAGTTAGTTAGTGAGACAGTGAGTTAGTGAGTCAGTGAGACAGTGAGTCAGTGAGACAGTGAGACAGTGAGTCAGTGAGTCAGTGAGACAGTGAGACAGTGAGTCAGTGAGGCAGTGAGTCAGTGAGACAGTGAGTTAGTGAGTCAGTGAGTCAGTGAGTCAGACAGTAAGACAGTGAGTTAGTGAGTCAGTGAGACGGTGAGTCAGTGAGTCAGTGAAACAGTGAGTCAGTGAGACAGTGAGTAAGTGAGACAGTGAGTCAGTGAGACAGTGAGTCAGTGAGACAGTGAGTTAGTGAGACAGTGAGTCAGTGAGACAGTGAGTTAGTGAGACAGTGAGTCAGTGAGTCAGTGAGTTAGTGGGACAGTGAGACAGTGAGTCAGTGAGTCAGTGAGACAGTGAGTCAGTGAAACAGTGAGTCAGTGAGTCAGTGAGACAGTGAGTCAGTGAGACAGTGAGACAGTAAGACCGTGAGTCAGTGAGACAGTGAGTCAGTGAGACAGTGATCATGAGTCAGTGAGGTGGGTTTGACGACTCGTGTTTGGTGACAGACCATTTAATATCATGGTAGTGGATTGGCGATTTCTGTTTGAATATGAAGATATCTCTCCGTTTCAAAACACACAGTCTCTGTTCTGTGAAAGGAGGTCCCAGAAGCGTTTAAAACCATCAATATATTATTTTCAAGACTTCGTTATTGTTTCGTTGAAGAAGATTTGCCTGTCATGGCATCGGCCACCTGGTATCATCCTTATTTGATAATGATTCATACAAATACAATCATGGTACAGTCGGAATCGTACGATCGACTCTGCTTTAGACCCGTGAAGATCCGTGTTAGAATAGGGCTCCAGCAACCCATGCTTGCTGTAAAAAGCGACTATGCTTGTCGTGAGAGGCGACTAACGGAATCGGGTGGTCAGGCTCGCTGACTTGGATCAACCATGTAATCGATCCCAAATGCGTGGATCGATGCCCATGATGTTAATCACTGGATTGTCTGGCCCAGACTCGATTATTTCCAGACCGCCGTCATACAGCTGGAATATTGCTGAGTGCGACGTTCAACAACAAACAAACAAACAAACAATGCTGTAAGCAGAGATTTCTTGTGGCTTTGGAAAAGGTTTTGTTGGATTTATTAAACACTTGCTTCGATACCAAACATATTCTGAAATACATATTTACAGTATTTCTACAGACCAACGCAAACTAAAATGATGACGTTTAATGGATTTTTCAATACACTACTGTTAAAACGAAGTTCCCTCTATTCCGGTGAAATTTTTCATATTAAATGTGTTTCTCTTAAAGAAACATGCAACTTTAGGGATAGAACTTCAGGTTTGCCTATAGCGACGGGTCGATGTAAATCCTTACACCGTTAACAAGCTGGAGTGAAGTTGTACGCATTCCTACTTCCTCACAAACCTCTAGGATGCCGATCACACATGTGTTTTTCTTTTTGTCTGAGACCGCCTCCGTGGTCTAGTGGAAGAGCGTCCGCCCGGAGAGCGGAAGGTCAGCGGTTCTATCCCCGGCCGCGTCATACCAAAAGACGTTAAAAGATGGTACTTGTTGTTACCATGTCTGGCGCTCGGCATTAAGGGGCTAAAACAAGGACTGGTCGGCTCGGAGTCAGTATACTGTGTCTGAGTGGGGTATTCATGTTAAACTGCGGCATGGTATTTCAGTGAGCTAGCACTATAAATCGGCATCAGTCCGGACTAGTACAAGCAGCCACACAAACACATACACATACATGCACGTCGCTATATAAGTGCAATAATCTTGGACGCGACGTTAAACCCCATTTCACCTCACCTCACCTCTTTTTGTCTGATGGCTTAATCATTGGTGTATTTACCTGTTTTTGCTGTGGTGTTTTATTCATGTAGAAACGCTTGTATATCTCCAATGCCTGTTGGGTATAGCAGTCGATGTAGTTGGTGTAACCTTGGGGGACACTGTAGTCCCCGGGAATCTTCCCCTCCCACCGGCCATTCGGTCCACATTTCCGGGTGGCGAAATCTAGGACAAAACAAAGGTCAATGTGAAGGTCAATGTGAAGAATAATCGACGCGATAGTTAACAGTGGGGGGTGGGGTGGGGTGTGTGTGTGTGTGGGTGTGGGGGTTGGGGGGTGGGTGTGGGGGTGGTGGGGGATGGAGGGTGGGGTAGGCAATGGGAAGGTAAGTGGAAGTAGCAAGGTGAAAGTCAAACTGAAGATTAATGTGAAGGTTTGCAAAAGTTTCCGGATTAATATTTTAGATATAAAACAGAAGGTTTTGCAGTAAAATATTAACACACTTCTTAGACTTGCTGCTGTTCGCGCGGACAAGATATTCAGCATAATATGTGAACGTGATTGGATTCGAGTTATGTTTATGTGTTTGTGTGAGGGTGTGTGTGACTGTATAAGTAATTTGTCGTGCATTCACTGTGATTCAGTCATGTTTGTATTTTGCTCCACTGAACAATATGCCACAGATATAAATAAAATAATCAGTCTGTCTAATAATGTACAACTCAACAGATTCAACCACACGAACCAAACTACATGAACTGACATATAGGAAATGTCACCTATTTCTAAAAGCGACAGTTTATAAAAATTATAACATTGTCAAGCATATTTCTTGTGTTTTTTAATAAAAAAAACTATATAGAAAAGAGAAAACAAACGTTTAAAGAAGGCAACTCGCCACCGCGGATGTGTGGTTATACAAGTTCCTTTTTAACGAGGTTCCGTTGTACTTACTTGAAGGTACCAGTCCGGGCAGAGGGGGGCAGTTCATGCGAACTGCGGTGCCAGCCTTGGCGGCCTTCCAGCACAGAACCTTGTCCCATGTTCCATTACAGTACAAACCTGATAAAACATAATGACAGTGAATAAATCCCCAATCTAGTATGTATTTATTTTGTTTTTTCGCATGTTTGTTGTTTAACGCCACATGCAGCACAATTTGAGCCTTGTGTAGAAAAACCAGTGATCGATATAATGATCAACGTCAAACTCCGTCGGGGGCGTTGACAAAAACTCCGGGCCTGAGAACCCGATCGTTTAGTTGCCTCTTATTTCCAGAATATGTTGGGGTGGAATTGGATTTTTTTTTTACACTGAAGGGGTGGTCGGGTAGCCGAGTGGTGAAAGCGTTCGCTCGTCACGCCGAAGACCCGGGTTCAATACCAAACATGGGTACATTGTGTGAAGCCCATTTCTGGCGATATCCACACGGAGGTTTACAATACGCCTGCGCACCCATGAGCAGATGCTGCTACTGCAGTACTGCTATACTCAGCATAAAATCCCACCCTCTTCATACTACCGCTCAGAGATAGACATCGAGTTGCACCAAAAGGCTAGAAGACCTCAAGTAACACGTGGCCTTCATACGTCAAAATGAAAATTATGTTCTGTGTCAGTTCAACATCTTGATTGAACGTATCCTGTCAAACAAACCATTTATTTGAGCAAGCAAATTAAGTGAACTGTGTTTTTGTCATACAAAACTACACAATGAGCGCTTGATGTCAACCTTTAGAATTAAAGGCTTGGGAAGCCAAGTCGCCTTAAGCTCCAGATGTCTATGTGCAGATCTGCGTCCCTTAATCACACGATCATCCTACATGTACAAATGTGGGTTCGAACCCCAGATTCCTGATTTGTGAGCACCATAGCAGTGCTTGTGAGTTTCACCAAAAGCATTCTTACATGATCAAACCGACACACCGTGATTTTACTGAATGATTATTCCTTGTGGCGTTAAACCACACTCACTCACTATTGCAAGAATGCCTAACAAACATATCTTTTCAATATTTCAACCAAAACACATCACCGAAAGCGCTACGTTGAGCAATAATAATATGGATTGAGCAGAAATATTTCAGAAGACGATCAGGGTCAACTTTTATATGACAACAGTCGGGCCGTTGTAACCTTTGAGACGGCGAGACCAAGCTACATGTACTCGCTATAACTTGTATAATGTTCATGTTATAACATTCTTGTCATCTCTGGCCTTGACCATGAAGCATGTCCTTGACATATAGTATAAGTGTGTTATATACCACGCAGAAGAGTTCATTGCGTTTTAATGTGTTCCAGTCGTATAATTGTTCAAACATGAGTTATCAATGTCAACATCGCCTGCAGTGCTAATTGATGGCATCGAAGAACGCCATTATAAAAAAAACCCAAATCCCGTGCCATACTTAAGAAACCTTAGAATCTCACGATATGTAACAATGGTTGCTCTTCGATGCTTGGTACTAATAACACAGCAGTGAGAGTCTCCAGACTGTCATATTGACAATTGGGATTATAATTGGAACCTTCTGCTCCAAGTGGGTGAACGGGTGCCCCAGTTTTCTAATGCCCCGCGATTCGCTGTGCAGAGTAACGTCCCTTAGGCACGTCAGAAACCTACGATCGTGGGTTCGAATCCCGGTTCGCCCCGATTATGTTTCTAGGTTTGTCAGCACCATACCAGTGCTCGTGGGTTTCACCAAAATGGTAAACGTCCAAGGCATGAATCACTTCGGGCTTTCCTCGCTTAGCTGATATGTGATATAACTGGAATATTGTTCAAAATGGTCTTCAGCTCACTCACTCATTCACCCATCCATCCCACCATCCTCTCACTCACTCACTCACTCACTCACTCTGCTTCATGTTCATCGCTGTGTCATATTATATGAACACACATTGCATCAACGCAAACCAGGCTATACAAGCGTGGAACGACATATCATTCTTATATAATTACCATCCTTTGATGCCAGCAATTATGCTTGAACCAGGTTTTATGGAGTTTGAATTTTGTTTGAACATCTATGACAAAATTGGAATGAATAAGACAATGCCTCGGGACTAAATCAAATTAATTGGATGTACAGGAAGAGACTTAGTGTTTTTCACAATTTGTACGCCACTAAGTCTTATACAACGTCATAACTGTTTTGTTTGTTTGAAGCCACGTGTTTAAAGCCACGCTCAGTAATATTCCACCTGTATGAACCCGGTCTGTAAATAATAGTCTGGATTTATTGACATCCTATATGACGTTTCTAGATGACGTCATAGTTCAAATTTGACCTCATTTTCTACAATACCTCAATCAAGTTTCTCATAACAAATATTCTTCGATATTCTGACGAACGTATTTCGCAAAGATGGAATGGTATTGACAAAATGAGTTTTAGTACATACTCTTATATAATCACTAGGGTAAGATGGGACCACTTTAATATTAGGGGCAACGTTTAGGACATTTAACCAAGACGGTAACATGTAAATGCAGTCGAGAATGATGAGGTCGTCTTTCGTTAAATTCAAATAAATGGTGTCATATGACATGGATCATTGACATAATATAGTTACATTTATACTTCTTTAGCCTCCTCTATATTCTGAACAGATACGAGAATGAAATTCAAATAGATTGACTAATATTATATTTTGTAAATCGAAATACTACTGCTGCAGCATTAATGATAGTCATATGTCCATATACACTACTGCTCACAAATAATTACCTCTTTTTCGCGATATAGTTTCATGTAACATACGTGTGCGGAGTTATCAGTCTAAGTTTTCGGAATCAACGCGGGATATTTAATTGGCAAATGAAAACAAACGCCTGAAGAATTAACGCGGTAGGTTGCGGAGGTACCGTATCGTACAGATATACTGTCGAATATATCGCGAAGATTACCAACAAAAGTAAGCACTTGAGAGCAGTACTGTAGATGTACGTGTCAACAAAATGTACGTACAATTTGTCACAAAATACATCGACCTTGTCACGGGATGATTGTAAGGATTTCACTAATGCTGTGCAGGCTATGCTCGCATATGCTGGTTCAGTACCGGTCTTGATTTTGAATTTATTAGAGTTTCCATCTATTAAATTACACTTTCGAATTGTAAATGGTGAGGTCAAACGTGTTGATATATCTTTCTATCCATCAATCCACCTACGCACGCACGCACGCACCGACGCACATACGCACGCATCCACACACGCACCCACATACATACATCATGGAGTTGTCTATAAAGAAAGTATTAAGAGTTGTGAATTTGTTTTCCACCGACTCTTCGGAGTTTAATTTCGTTGGCATTGGTATATACATAAATGAAGCATCATTCGATATTGTAAGAAAAATCTCTTCTTGCAATTGACCCAAAGCAATAACGAGTTACGTTGTCAATTTACGGCCTGAGTTTGTTCGGACGGTACTCTTTTACGGTATTGACGAATCATGGTATGTTTTGTAACATACAGACGTTCCATTGTAATTGTCCGGAAAGCTGGGATTCTGGATTTACAGGTCTAGACTATTGGAAGGGCGTACTGGACAGGACCTTATGTGCTCATACGAAAAAGAACCTGAGCCAAACACTGAGCTGACACGAGCAGATCGAAACATTAAACAAATTCTTGTTTGTTTGTTTGTTTGTTTATTTTTTTGTTTACTTAATATATAAAGCGACATACGACAATATTAAAACGGCGGCGTGTTAATAAATAAATCGACTCTGGTACGGATAAACAAGTGACTGATATTGTCAGCGATAGACATGTCGGTGGCTGATGATAGAAAGTCAAGGGACGGTGGAGTAGCCTAGTGGTTAAAGAGTTACGCCGAAGACCCGGGTCGATTTCCGACATGGGTACGATGTGTGAAGCCCATTTCTGGAATCTCCCGCCGTGATATCGCTAAACAGTGCTAAAAGCGGCGTAAAACCATACTCACTCACTTACTATGAGCCTGACCACCGGATCCATTGCCCCTTCGTTGCCTGTCACGACAATCATGCTGATTCTGTGGGGACCAAGATCTTACGAAACCCAAAGAAATATATAATTATTATCTTTGCAGGGTCCAACGCTGAATATATCTTATGGAAGAATATACATATATCTACTCATGTCTTGTGACCAACACAATCTTAATCTTGATTAATGGCCAGATGCAATGACCCCTGATTGATGCGAGAAAAGCAAACGTGTCAATACTGAGAGCAAAATGCCTCATTACAAGTATCACATTACAACAAGCATGACATTACTTACAAACAACGGAAATAAATCATTTTGTTCGGCATGACAGTCGTGTAATTTCTTATTCTATCCCTGACAAGCATTTCCCTAATCTCTTTCCTGGACTTTTCAATGTTCAAGAAACGCAAGAACTGCTCAAGAAACACCAATACTCTTATAGAACACCCAAACTTGATTAAATGGGAGGTATGGCTTTGACCTCGAGGGTAAGGACAATGACCTCTACCCGTTTATGTTTTGGTTTTGAAGTCAGTTTATTAGACACTTTGGTAACAGGGATTCATTAATACCTTCACACTACTTCCGTTTTCGTTTCCGTTTCAAATGAGAAGTGTTGCAACACAGAAACGCTCTGTTTCATGCTTTCAGTTCAGCAAATATATCGCCATGAATATCGCCATGATTGGTATTTAGAAGATGGTTCATAACGACGATAAGAGTATAAGACCATTAAGGTGACGTCACGCTATTGTGTGCAGTATACTGAGCCATGCATTCTCCAGGCATTCTGAACAAAATTTGAACAAGTAAACCTGGCGCAACTGTAGGTAATTATGCAAAATTAAAACGACATTATATCTGTTGCTGCCCATCTTTCCGAGGCAAGCCTGTCCACTAGCCAATACCAAAGCCTAGTTTCTACCTTTGCCACAGCCAAGGCCACTTTTCCTAGCTCGACCCTGGCGCCGGCTCGCGTAGATCACGAGTTGGGTCCCTTGTTTGAAAACGCAATATCCAATCAGACCGCTGTTATTATCTCGTAGAACTTCACAATGATAACGACTACCATAGGAGA